CTCAATATTTTGTTACCATGGATACAAAATGCTTAGTTTTCATTTTTTTAGAAATTTTTTTTTTGAAAATTTTGAAAAAAAAATGTTTTAAAACCTAATTCTGCAGTCAGAAAAAAAATAAATATACAATATGTAGAAATTATTGTAATCATCAAAATTTTAAACATATTCATATATAACAGTATTATAGTTTTAACTCTGTTGCTATGGAAACAATTTCATTTTGATACACAAGTTTAAAACAATTTTGAAAAAAGTTTCAGTTAGTTTCTTAAATGTGCACAAAAGTAGGAAAACTAAAACACTTATTAAGTTTCACTGTATACACACATGTGTATATATAAATGATTTTGCTAGTATAGTATTTCGATAATGGTGTTACCACTTGAAGGAGACAAACACAATTTCTCTATTCTGGATAAAAGTGCTAATTATAAAGAAATTTCAGTCTGTTTTCATGATCATGAAAAATATACAAGAAAAACAATTACTCAATCTAGAAAAAAATAAATAAAATCATTTAAAAAATTACATATTCAATTGTACAATATTTGACATTGAATGTGTTATCATGGAAACAAGTAGTTCATTTGCAAAAATACGGATAAGTACTAATTTTTACAAATGCGTTTTAATGAACTTCGATACATATAACAATGAATGTATACAGTTTTGCTTACATAAGCAGGTTTTCTTGTATTTGAGAAATATTAAAAATATTCCAGGCATCATTAGTGATAGTGTTGCTATAGAAACAACAAATTACATGTATATGCATAAACTTGGAAAACGCTTGAAAATAGACTAAATCTCTCATACAAAAACTCTCTTCTGTAAGTTTTCAATTTAATGCAGTGTCAAAGAATGATGGCTTTTACAAGTCAGTCCATCAACTAGTATTCAAATGCTGTAGTGAAGATTAAAGATCAAAGTGCCACTTGGTGTTGACAGTTTTGAATTTTATCTACTAGCTCCTAACTATTTATACATAAGATTAAGATGATACAATCAGAACATTGACAGTTCAAGAAAGGCCAAGCTTAAAATTGTTTGTGTGAGGCACAGAAATAAATACTTATCACAAATGAAAATAATCAATATAGGTGTGGTGAAGTTGAAAAAGTAGACAATTTCAAAAAGGTCCGGCAATATGGGTAGGCTGGGATGAAGGTGGACAATTTGAAATATAACTGGAAACCGGGATCTATTGGACAAGGACAGAAATTTCAATAGGTCAACTTGGGTGCCCCTAAAAGAGTTAACACAAAGGTTCTTTAGCAAACAAAGGGCGTAACCAACAAGGGCGGGTACTGTTGGCTGTTGAACCGATGGTCCCTGCTATCCATCCGACACATTTCTTGTTTGCCTATCTGGCCGGGGAGGAATTTTCGAGATTTTCCAAAAAGATTTGTTTCCCTACGAGGACCCGCGGAAAATCTGTCAGATGGTGGCTGCGGGTCTTAAAACGAGCAGTGGGGGAAATATACCATCTGGACAATTTTCATATAAGGGGACCCACTGAATGCCTCAAGTGATGGCCCGCTACATTTATGCTTCAGTGATTCCATATGAAATCAACCAAATATTTCAAATAAATAAGGAGGGACGGGCCCTCAGGGCCCCTGGATCCGCCTGTGGTAGCACTATCTTAACATTAGTATTAGGCATTGGATTATTGAAATTTGAGAAAATAACAATTATCTTTATAGATTTTTAGCAGCAAATTAAAAAATATTACCATAAATTATGATTACTCTTTACCGTGAAAGGGTAACTTTAAAAGAATTATATACATGTACATATAACTTGATTTTCACTGAACATGCTGAAAGCCCATTACAGAAAGATGTTTCTCAAAATTAGAATATTGTCTTTCTTTTAACAAAAAAAAAATAGATTTTACTTTTAAACAGGACTCAATGTTTAAAACATATATTACATGTGACTTTTTGTCCTGGACTTTTTGTCTGTGACTTTCTGTCCCATATTCTGACCGTTATCATGGCCAGGAAAAATTACTTTATACCTATTTATATGCAATAGGCTTTGCATCAAATTTATAGAAACACTTAGATTGAACCATTAATTTCATCAAATTAATTTCATCAAATAAGAAAATATAAAATGCTTTTCAAACATATTAGCAAACGATAAATGTATTGACTTTCAAGAACATTTGGCATACCTCAAGTTAAGTCGTTGAATATGTTTACTTATATTTTATTAAAATATTTTAAACTACCAAGATATCGTACCTCAAGTAGTCCGCGAAATGTTTATTTTTTTTATGAAAATATTTAAAACTACCAAGATATCCTACACAAGGCTCGGGCATGCCTTAAGATGTACGTGGAAATAATTATTTACTGTTATGAAAATATTAAAAAACAATTATATTTGATTTATCAACTTACATGTATTTTTGGCCTACTTCACACCTTTTGTGTGTTACTCTATATTTGTGATCAAACGTGTCAAATTATAACCGGTAATATACAACATAATTTACAACACAGTAAAATACAATATACTACTCAATACCATAAAAAGTTTAAATAACCTGGTGCCCGTCACAGTACCCTAAACTGTTTTTCCCAGTTTTTTTATATTATTTGATAAAGACTTTACCATTCAATCTTAATGGTTTTTTTTATATAAATTTTAAGCAAATCCTATAAGATATAAATAAGTATTAGGTAGTACAACGGTCAGGACACAGTCAACGTTGGTCAGGTCAAGTTTTTTTTTCCCCAAAAACATATATTTTCCCCCCTTTTTTAATGATATAAAATAACACAGAAATTTTCATCGGTTAGGTCATTGCTGTTGTTGGTCAGGTCATTGTCAACGTTAGAAGGGTCACTTTTGCGGAATTTTTCGGAATTTCAGTTTAATATTTTTTTCTATATTTTTTCATATAGTTATATATTAAATGATCATATTTTATTATATTTCAAATTTAACATAAATCCTTTAAGAAATAAAAAAGAAATGAGCATTTTCATTTGGTCCTGTCATTGTCAGCGTTGGTCAGGTCACGTTTCATGAAGATTTAAAAGTTTTCTATATTTTTTCTTATATTTATGTATTAAATGGACTAAATTTATAGCAATTCAAATTTGACAAAATTTTTAAGAAATAAAAAAGTTATTGGCATTTTCGTTTTGGTCCAGTCATTAGAATAACCCGTCAAAGGGAGATAATTCGTATTGTGAGGAATATTGCACAATGACCATATTTTAGAAATTAATTTCAGATGTTTCTAGGTAGATTCCCCATAACCTTTTTTGATTTTTGATAAAAACAAGGCTGAAATTAATTGTTTTTGTGTTTCTTTTTAATAGATGTAGCCGCATAATTTCACAACACTACACCAAATATTGTATTTTTCTCAAAATTCCCAACTTTCTCCGCTGTTACCATGGTAACCAACCAATATATATATCGGTTGGCATTATTTTTCTGACTAGGCTAATAGGATATACATATCAGCCAATTTTCAGAAAGATCGGTGACTATGTGTGCCGAAAAAGTTTAAGTGGTTACAGAGAATGAGTATTAATTTCTGTGTCATTTGGTCTCTTGACGAGAGATCATACCACATCTCCTTATTTTTATATGCGTTTTATGCCCAAACAATGCAAGAATCTTTAAAATGTGCTGCCTCAGATAGAGCCTATATCAGGAGACTGATTTTACCTACTATTTGGGTGTTTGACTAAGAAGCATTTTAATAAACAAATTGTGGCTTATTTCATATTTATAATACAGTTAAGATTCAAGGCCATATTTTGCTAAAAATGAAGAATAATTCCTCTTAGTAAGAATTGCGAGAAGATGTTTCATAATTCGTATACAAGAAAAGTATAGTAAAGACTCTCTTTAAGTTATGTCGGGTAAATATCTTTTTAATAAAATGAAGCAACTGGATGCACCCCTAAATAACAAATAATGACCATAAATAGCAGGTATGCGTGAATCAGACAGTAACATAAAAACAAGAGTGCACACGCTGAAATGTCTCGCCTTCTTTACTAACCATTGATATTATGTCCTAAATGAAAGCTTTACTACAACTATTACATAAACTTAACATGATCCAAGAAAATGAAGTCAGGGTCATATAAACCTAACAAGAAATACATTTTACCATTTTTTTAAAACTTTTTAACAATTCAAAATTTTTTTGTTTAAGTTGATTATTTAGACATTTTTTAAGTTTATTTCCAACCAAGTTTATTTCTTTTTGTAACTGTCTGACCATACCTGTCTATATTTTTTTCTCTTACTTTTAAATCTTTTTCATATTTTACAGAGATATTTTCAAAAATATTAGTTAAATTTTTAGTTGCACCATCAACCCCTTTCTGATTTTCCTCATACTCATTGAATTCAAAATTTAATATATCATTTTTAATATGCTCTGACATAAGAGCTTTAAGTCGCAAGTTTTGTGAAGTTTCAGTCCATTTATATGTTTTCAAATCTTTCCACTTTTTTTTCTATATGACTTTTAAGGTAAAAAAATAGTTTTATATTACAATTTAAAGTTAACTGAATCTGTACATAATCTGACAAGTAAGTAAAATCATCAGTTTTAAAGTATTTCACTGAGGACAGGAGACTATCACTTAATAATGCATAATCTACAGCACTGTATCCATTTATTGACATATAAGTATAGTAGCCTAGGCTGTCCCCTAATAAAAAAACAATCAGTTTTAAGAAAACTGTATTCATTCATTAAGTGTATTAATAAAAAGGTTAGTCCCTCCATGTAAACGTTAAGCACAGACTGATTTCTTCATATTTAGTTTAACCTGTTTATTATACAGGTATTTCATCATAAAGTTGTACTTTATTATATATTATCTGCATCTGTTTACCCTCAACTATTGTATTTGTATTTATATTGTAATTCTACTTTCTCTGTTGACTTGTCTTTAGTTTTTAGAGAATAAAATATCTATCTATCTAATAAGAATGAAACTGAATGTTACCTTTTTTGTTTTCACCCAAGGACTGCATCCTTGGTCTATTAACCATTTTGTTGTATCAATCCGTCCATACTCAGCAGCATAATGTAAAGCTGTTTGTCCATGCTATAACAATATAAAAATATAAACATGTTAATGTTGTGTGATAACAAATCAAGAGAGGAGTCAAACAATTTAACAAAATGTAAGAAATATAACATTGGGTAAGATAATAAACAATTATACTTGTGTATAAACTGATTAATGGTAGATTAAGATATATAAACTAAAGATATATTTTCTGATTCAGTTCTACAAAACAGGAAAAAATAATAGTAAACCTCACTTAATAAAAGTCTTACAATTCAAAGTTTAAATATTTGTTGTCCATTTAACATATAGGATTAACAACATGATTTGGTGTAGATTCAGTTTAATAATCAAAGTTGAAAAAAAAACTTTTTTCAAGAAACCTAAAAACAAGTTATATTTTCTGATTCAGTACAACGAGACAAGAAAAATAAGACCCCACTTTATATAATTCTGTCAAGTATTTGTTATTTTTAAAAGATGTTTTACATTAGATCTGTAGAATTAACATTATCTGACTAAAGATGTTAACACAACTTGTTCTCATAAACATCTTATGAAAATCAGACGTTTACAAAATAATTCTTCGTCAAGAAACAAAATAAAACCTTAACTATCTGATTCAGTTCTGTGTAACGAATAAAATGAGACCCCACTTTATATAATTCTAACAAATATTTGTTGTCCATTAAACCTGTCTGATTAACAACATGATTTTGTGTAGATTCAGTATAAAGTGGTGTTTTGTCAGAGTAAGGATATTATATCTATCAATACCTTATCTGTGAATTCTAATTGACTGCCCTGAGTGACGAGGTACCTCACCACCTCCAGTAATATATGGATGATGTGCTGGTAGTGTATTATTAGTGTTAGATGTGTAATTGGAGTATGATTAGATAGTAGATGTACTGGTAGTGTATTATTGATGTTAGATGTGTAATTGGAGTATGATTAGATGGTTGATGTGCTGGTCGTATATTATTGGTGTTAGATGTGTAATCGCAATATAAATGGTGTTTGTGATGTTTGTTTATGTGTATAAATAAAAGGAGGTATGGGGTTAACATTAATGAGACGGAAACCCAGGCCATAATCTTGCAGGCGATATGACGATTTAAGTCGCCAAAAATTTTTGAAAATCACTAAAACTTGCCAGTCAACTGACTTCATAGCGAAGTCAAATCGCTATCAAAATCGGTATAAGGGAGACAACTTGTGATTTACAAGTTGCACCGGTAAACAAAAATGGTGACTGACAAGGAAAATCGAGATTTTCAAAACGACCACAGACTAATACTGAGTACAAATGAATGAAATAAATAAAACAGCAAATTTGAACAGCCTTGAATTTAACCTTCAAAATTAAATAAACGGGAAATTAAGCGACTGTTTGAGTTATCTCATTTATGATAATTTTCTTCGTGAGGATGTTGCGTCATCACTCAGATGATTTGTTTTATTTTTATTTATTACGAGACGACCAATTGTACAGATTGTAGGTTTAGGAGTATGAATTAACCGGAGGCTTTACATCCTGAAAAAAATAGGGTCGTAGGTTGGTATTTTTTTTTGGTTTGTCAAAATCCGGAAAAAAATCGTGTGTTCACCGAGTCCAATAACGGTAATATACACGCCTCTACTGGAAGTTCACCATTTTCTATATGTTTGGTTGTAAAATAACCATCATCCATCTAATCGTACTAAAATTACACATCTTATACCATAACTTACTTTCCACCAATCATATACTGCTTACACACCTTCAACCAACCTACCACTGCAAACACACCTTCCATCAGTCATACACTACCAACTCATCTTCCACCAATCATACACTACCAACATACCTTCCACCAATCACACACTACCAAATTACCTTCCACCAATCATATACTACCTACATACCTTCCTACAATCATACACTATCACAGGACCTTCCACCAATCATACACTACCAACATACTTTCCACCAACCATACACTACCTACATACCTTCCTACAATCATACACTACCAACACAACTTCCTACAATCATACACTGCTAACATACCTTCCACCAATCATATGCTTCAAACACACATTCCACCAATCATACAATACCAACATCCCTTCCATCAATCATACACTACCAACACACCTTCCACCAATCATACACTACCAACACACCTTCCATCAATCATTAACTACCTACACACCTTCCTACAATCATACACTGCTAAAATACCTTCCACTAATCATATACAACCTACATACCTTCCATCAATCATACACTACCTACATACATTCCACCAATCATACACAACCAATACACCTTCCATCAATCATACACTACCAACACACCTTCCACCAATCATACACTACCAAAATACCTTCCACCAATCATATACAACCTACATACCTTCCATCAATCATACACTACCAACACACCTTCCACCAATCATACACTACCTACATACCTTCCACCAATCATACACTACCAACATACCTTCCACCAATCATATACTACCTACATACCTTCCACCAATCATATGCTTCAAACACACATTCCACCAATCATACAATACCAACATACCTTCCACCAATCATACACTACCAACATACCTTTCACCAATCATATACAACCTACATACCTTCCACCAATCATATACAACCTACATACCTTCCACCAATCATACACTACCAACATACCTTTCACCAATCATATACTACCTTCATACCTCCCACCAATCATATGCTTCAAACACACATTCCACCAATCATACAATACCAACATACCTTCCACCAATCATACACTACCAACATACCTTCCACTAATCATATACAACCTACATACCTTCCACCAATCATATGCTTCAAACACACATTCCACCAATCATACAATACCAACATACCTTCCACCAATCATACACTACCAACATACCTTCCACCAATCATATACAACCTACATACCTTCCACCAATCATATGCTTCAAACACACATTCCACCAATCATACACTACCAACATACCTTCCACCAATCATACACTACCAACATACCTTCCACCAATCATATACAACCTACATACCTTCCACCAATCATATGCTTCAAACACACATTCCACCAATCATACAATACCAACATACCTTTCACCAATCATACACTACCAACATACCTTCCACCAATCATATACAACCTACATACCTTCCATCAATCATACACTACCAACACACCTTCCACCAATCATACACTACAAACACACCTTCCACCAATCATACACTACCAACATACCTTCCACCAATCATATACTACCTACATACCTTTCACCAATCATACGCTTCAAACACACCACTACCAACATACCTTCCACCAATCATACACTATCAGAATACCTTCCACCAATCATACACTACCAGCATACCTTCCACCAATCATATACAACCTACATACCTTCCATCAATCATACACTACCAACATACCTTCCACCAATCATATACTACCTACATACCTTCCACCAATCACACACTACTAACATACCATTCTACAATCATACACGACCAACATACCTTCCACCAATCATATACTACCTACATACCTTCAACCAATCATACACTACCAACATACCTTCCTACAATCATACACTACCAACATACCTTCCACCAATCATATATAACCTACATGCCTTCCATCAATCATACACTACCTACACACATTCCACCAATCATACAATACCAACATACCTTCCATCAATCATACATTACCAACACACCTTCCTCCAATCATACACTACCAACATACCTTTCTACAATCATACAATACCAACACACCTTCCATCAATCATACACTACCAACACACCTTCCATCAATCATACACTACCAACACACCTTCCTACAATCATACACTACCTACAAACCTTCCTACAATCATACACTACCAACATGCCTTCCTCCAATTATACACTACCAACATACCTTCCACCAATCATACACTACCAACTTACCTTCCACCAAACATACACTTGCAACATACCTTCCACCAGTCATACATTATCATCAATCCTACTACCAGTCATACACTACCAACATACCTTTCATCAATCACACACTACCACCAGACCTTCCACCAATCATAAACTGGCAACATACTTTCCACCAATCATATACTTCTAACACACCTTTAACCAATTATACACTTCCAACACGCCTTCCACCAAATTTACACTGCCAACATACCTTCCATCAGTCATACACTACCAACATACATTCAACCAATTATACACTACCAACATACCTTCAACCAATCATACACTACCAACATATATTCTACCAATCATACACTTTCAACATACCTTTCACCAATCATACACTACCAATCTACCTTCTACATATCATACACTACCAACACACCTTCTACCAATCATACACTACCAACACACCTTCTACCAATCATACACTACCAACATACCTTCCACCAATCATACACTTTCAACATACCTTTCACCAATCATACACTATCAAAATACCTTCCACTAATCATACACTTCCAACCTACCTGCTACCAATCATACACTACCAACCTACCTTCTACCAATCATACACTACCAACCTACCTTTTACCAATCATACACTACAAACATACCTTCCCCCAATCATACACTACCAAATTACCTTCCACCAATCATATACTACAAACATACCTTCCACCAATCATACACTACCAACATATATTCTACCAATCATACACTTTCAACATACCTTTCACCAATCATACACTACCAATCTACCTTCTACCTATCATACACTACCAACACACCTTCTACCAATCATACACTACCAACACACCTTCTACCAATCATACACTACCAACATACCTTCCACCAATCATACACTTTCAACATACCTTTCACCAATTATACACTATCAAAATACCTTCAACCAATCATACACTACCAACCTACCTGCTACCAATCATACACTACCAACCTACCTTCTACCAATCATACACTACCAACACACCTTCTACCAATCATACACTACCAACATACCTTCCTACAATCATACACTGCTAACATACCTTCCTACAATCATACACTGCTAACATACCTTCAACCAATCATACACTACCTACATACCTTCCTACAATCATACACTACCAACCTACCTTTTACCAATCATACACTACCAATATACCTTCTACCAATCATACACTACCAACCTACCTTCTACCAATCATACACTACCAACACACCTGCTACCAAACATACACTACCAACATACCTTCCACCAATCATACACTTTCAACATACCTTTCACCAATCGTACTCTATCAAAATACCTTCCATCAATCATACACTACCAACCTTCCTTCTACCAATCATACACTATCAACATAACATCGACAATTCATGCACTACCAACATACCTACTACAAACATACCTTCCACCAATCATATACTGCCAACACACCCTCCACTAATCATACACCACTAACATACCTTCCATCAATCATGCACTACAAAGATACCATCCACCAATCATACTCCAAAAACACACTTACACCAATCATAGACGACCAACACAACTACAATCTTATCACATTCCTCTCATTTTACAGCAATCATACACTACCAACATAGCAACAATTTTATTAACTCCATGAACACATCTTACACCAATCTGTCATTACCATACACTACCAACACAACAACCATCTAATTAACTTTATGAACACATCTTACACCAGTCTGTCATTATCATACACTACCAACACAACAACCATCTAATTAACTTGATGAACACATCTTACACCAGTCTGTCATTATCATACACTACCAACACAACAACCATCTAATTAACTTGATGAACACATCTTACACCAGTCTGTCATTATAATACACTACCAACACAACAACCATCTAATTAACTTGATGAACACATCTTACACCAGTCTGTAATTATCATACACTACCAACACAACAACCATCTAATTAACTTTATGAACACATCTTACACCAATCTGTCACTACTATACACTACCAACACACAAACCATCTAATTAACTTGATGAACACATCTTACACCAGTCTGTCATTTTCATACACTAACAACACACAAACCATCTAATTAACTTGATGAACACATCTTACACCAGTCTGTCATTATCATACACTACCAACACACAAACCATCTAATTAACTTGATGAACACATCTTACACCAGTCTGTCATTACCATACACTACCAACACAATAACCATCTAATTAACTTTATGAACACATCTTACACCAATCTGTCATTACCATACACTACCAACACAACAACCATCTAATTAACTTTATGAACACATCTTACACCAGTCTGTCATTACCATACACTACCAACACAACAACCATCTAATTAACTTTATGAACACATCTTACACCAATCTGTCATTATCATACACAACCAACACAACAACCATCTAATTAACTTTATGAACACATCTTACACCAGTCTGTCATTACCATACACTACCAACACAACAACCATCTAATTAAATTTATGAACACATCTTACACCAGTCTGTCATTATCATACACTACAAACACAACAACCATCTAAATAACTTTATGAACACATCTTACACCAGTCTGTCATTATCATACACTACAAACACAACAACCATCTAATTAACTTTATGAACACATCTTACACCAATCTGTCATTATCATACACAACCAACACAACAACCATCTAATTAACTTTATGAACACATCTTACACCAATCTGTCATTATCATACACTAACAACACACAAACCATCTAATTAACTTGATGAACACATCTTACACCAGTCTGTCATTATCATACACTACCAACACACAAACCATCTAATTAACTTGATGAACACATCTTACACCAGTCTGTCATTATCATACACTACCAACACACAAACCATCTAAGTAACTTTATGAACACATCTTACACCAATCTGTCATTATCATACACTACCAACACTGCAACCAATTTATTAACTCCATGAACACATCTTACACCAGTCTGTCATTATCATACACTACCAACACACAAACCATATAATTAACTTGATTAACACATCTTACATCAATCTGTCATTATCATACACTACCAACACAACTACCATCTAATTAACTCCATGAACACATCTTACACCAATTTGTCATTACCATAACTACCAACACAACAACCATCTAATTAACTTTATGAACACATCTTACACCAATCTGTCATTACCATACACTACCAACACAACAATCATCTAATTAACTATATGAACACATCTTACACCAGTCTGTCATTACCATAAATACCAACACAACAACCATCTAATTAACTTTATGAACACATCTTACACCAATCATACACTACCAACACAACAACCATATAATTAACTTGAAGAACACATCTTACACAAGTCTGTCATTACCATACACTACCAACACAACAACCATCTAATTAAATTTATGAACACATCTTACACCAGTCTGTCATTGCCATACACTACCAATACACAAACCATCTAATAAACTTTATGAACACATCTTACACCAATCTGTCATTATCATACACTACCAACACAACTACCATCTAATTAACTCCATGAACACATCTTACACCAGTCTGTCATTATCATACACTACCAACACAACAACCATCTAATTAAATTTATGAACATATCTTACACCAGTCTGTCATTACCATACACTACCAACACACAAACCATCTAAAAAACTTTATGAACACATCTTACACCAATCTGTCATTATCATACACTACCAACACAACTACCATCTAATTAACTCCATGAACACATCTTACACCAGTCTGTCATTGTCAGAGACTACCAACACACAAACCATCTAATTAACTTTATGAACACATCTTACATCAGTCTGCCATTATTATACACTACCAACACAACAACCATCTAATTAACTCCATGAACACATCTTACACCAACCTGTCATTACCATACACTACCAACGCTGCAACCAATTTATTAACTCCATGAACACATCTTACACCAATCTGTCATTACCATACACTACCAACACAACAACCATCTAATTAACTTTATGAACACATCTAACACCAATCTGTCATTAGCATAAACTACCAACACAACAACCATCTAATTAACTTTATGAACACATTTTACACCAGTCTGTCATTATCATACACTACCAACACACAAACCATCTAATTAATTTTATGAACACATCTTACACCAATCTGTCATTACCATACACTACCAACACTGCAACAAATTTATTAACTCAATGAACACATCTTACACAAATCTGTCATTACCATACACTACCAACACAA